GAAGCAGTTTGGCTAACCTAAGTTGCTGGCGTGTGCTGCTCGGGCAAACAGATGTACCTTCGAATCTGTGGGCTCCATTCTGTTTCTTAGCTCCATATATCCATGGGGCAAGAATGGAAGAGAAAAAGCTAGAACTACATGGTGGCGGGTTTCGTTCCTTTTGGCAGGGGATCACGTTGCACTGGGCCCCCGAGCCAGTAAGGGCTCTTTTGTTGTCACCATGATTTGCAAACACTAATCGTTAGAAGACTCCTGGGAGATTGGGAAGCATGGCCCCTAGCGAATAGATGGAGAAACAGAGACTTGGGGAAATGAAGTGACTTTCCCAAGATGCCAGAGTGAATCAGTGACAGGGCTGGGCTTAAACATGTCGCTTTTTGGAGGATTTTTTTAATAGTATGTTTGATTTTTTTTCCTTTGAAACGCAGCATGTTTTCGGTAGACGTTCCCTCATTCTATAGGGACTCAACAGTATCACTGAGAAGAGGAAAAGTGATGCACCTTCATGACCATTTGTGTTCCAGCTACTGCATATATTGGCATGGTGTAAACCAGGGCTGGCCAAACTTACCGACCCTCTCAGCCACATATGACAATCTTCAGAAATTTGAGAGCAGGAATTACCTGCTGATGGGGGTGGGGCTTCTTCAGTCATGGAGAGGCTGGGTGCCTGCTCCCCCTGGAGCCCTGAGCCGTGGCCCAGAAGCCCATAAAGCTCTGAGACTTGTCTCCTAACTGGGCAGAAGCCAGAGGCAAAGCAGAGAGGTGGGGAGCACACGTGGGATCAGATTTTCTCCAGGGTTTGCTAACTCTGTTAGGGGGAGCTTTAAATTCTACCTCCTCACTCTTAGCAGGCACCAGTTGTCTCTAGCGGAAACTCCTAGCCACACCACCTGCTATGGAACAGAAGCCCTGAGCTCCTTGCTAGTTTGGTAGGCAGAGAAAGGGGGAAGAGAACGTCTCTTTAGCCCTAAAGAGCCCGATGCGGTTCACAAGCTGTGGTATGGCCACTCTTGAGGCTTAAATAAACAATTCTGTGCTTTTTAGTACATCATTGAGACATTTATTTTTTGTCTTTTCCCCAGATCTGTTAGACTTGCTGTGTTTGTATGCATGCTTTGGGGTCTTCATCGGAGCTTTTAGTTTCTTAGAGGCACAAATTATCTGTGCGGATGCCCCGATTGATCAGTTCTTAGCTAACTGTTAGAGAGCGGATGCAAGATAACATGTTCATTATGTGATAAAAATATAACAGTCATGCGGTAAAGGTCATTGGTGGTGTTGAATGCTAGTACGATGCAAGCCAGTTATTCACAGATAACATGGTATTGTTCGGGAGGAATATTTTTAGTTTTTAAATAAGTGGGAGCAACAATGCATGGTATACACCGTCGGGCGGAAGTGCCTGCTTAACCAGCAGTGGGATAAATATCCATTGTTCCATATGTAATGGCTGTAACATTTGTTCACAAATGTTCCAAAGCTATATGGGTGTGGTGTGTGTGGGATAGCTTAGAATGCCCCAGTATTCACTCTGCTTGGTTTCAGAGTCTGCAGAATTCAGAAAATTAATGTAAAAAACCTTAATCCTGTACATCTAAGTGGGACTGTTTGTTGTAGAAGATTATTTGGAATGTTTGCTAGGAAAAGTCTTCTCGGCAGTAAGATGAATAACGATTTGCATCTAAGTGGCCTGTAAAATGAATAATCATGCAGCTAGTGGAGTTGGGGTTGGGCTCGACCGCCAAACCATGTTCAGTTGAACAGGTGCATGAGTATGTGTAAGTGTGTGTTAGGAGAGAGTTTCTTGTTGAGCTGTTGAACAGGCTAAGAGGTGCAACTGATCTGTTTGCTGGTGACTTTAGTATCTGGCCAGGGCTTAGTTGATATCTGATTCCTTCCTCTAACACTCCACTTTTAAACAGCAGTTGTGGTGTCATGATTGAGTGCAGGGGAGCATTTTGTATGCCATTCTCATGAATATCTACTATATATTTGAGAGAGCTTGTCATTCAAGAACTCCTATTAAACGGTAAGAGGTAAGACCACCAAATTTGGTACACAGCTTCCTTTTATCGCAACTTAAAGCAACGTCTGGGTTTGGTTGTGCCAGGACAATGGGATGGGCCTGGAATGGGATTGCTTCTCATGCAACCATACAGAAAAGACACAGAATCACCAGGCAGATGAAAGGGGCTGGATGGGGGCCCCACCCCCTCCCAATCTAGGACTGCCCCAGGCCCGAGTCTTCCACCCCCGAGGTGCCAAGCTGCTCCAGTGAGAAGGGGTTGGGGTGGTTCTCTCTCCCTGGAGCAGGCTGCATACTGAACCCCTCATCCCGAGCCCCAACCCAGAGCAATGATTTAAATAAAGAAAAACAAATTGAGTTGACTTACCCAGTGTTGCTCAGGTTCTTTTGTAGTAGTTCATCTTTATAGGCTGTGGGTTGCTATGCGAAGGCAACCTTTAGAAGTTTTACTGTTTGCCTCTCAGCTCCATGAAATCCCCTCTGACCACAGTTCATTGATTGTTATTAGAGAACTTATTACAGGCTGCGTCTGATCCCTCATTAAAAGGAGGATTGTGTTGTCGGTCTGCAGAGCAGCTGCTACTAGTATGTACACTTGTGAGGCACAGCGAGGAATGTTGATATGAGTGACTTATGTTCCCTCTACTCTGTTGGGATTGCTGTGTAATCTTTGCAGCCTCTTCAGGATTTTGCCGATTAGGAGTGAGTGTCCAACTTTTCCCCAAGTGTTCATTCAGTACTTTGGTAGCACTTCACGCAGTACAGCAGCTGTGTGGTGTTTGGCCAGCTTGTCTTTGGCTTGATTGGGCTTTATGTCATTCCAGATAGTGAAACAAACCTTTTGATTCTGAGGCTTGGAAATTATCCCAGTGAATTTTGCTTGACGAAATGTAATCTTAGATTGCTGCAAAAAAAAAAAAAAAAAAAAAAAAAATCTATATGATCTATGTTTGGGGTAGTACCCCAGTGCCTGGCATCTTCAATTTCAAAATCACAGATGCTAGCTAGGTGGCTGGCTGTGCTCTAAGCAAGCACAGGCATTTTACAAAGCAAGCTGATTATGATTTGTGTTTCGGTAGCACTTAGAGCTCTCAGATGAGTTAAGGATTCTGTTTCGCTGGCTGCGATAGATGCACACAGGAACAGTTCAAAGAGTGTATACTCAAAGTAGACAGTCCTAGGAACAGAGGAAGGAAAGTAATATTGCCCTCATTAGGGACGTGAAAGTGTAGCTGTGTACACGGCTCATTGGTTAACTTTCATGGTTACACGTGGCCTCTTGGTACGCATGGGGAGCTGCCTGCTCTCCCCCTGCCATGCTTCTGCACGTGGGGAGCCAACTATCGCCCTCCCCGCCCCCCGTGTGTAGCAGTGGGGTCCCCATGTGGTTACATGTTTATTTAATAAAACACATTTGAACATCCCTAGTCCTCATTGTAGAGATGAGGAATTGAGATGGGGGGTTCCAGAGGAAGCCTGTTGTGGAGCCCAGAATTTACCTTAACTTTCCGGAGACTTAGGCCGGTGCCTTGATTATAAATCCTCTGTTCCTTCAAATCTTTATTCAAAGTCAATTTCATGGATGATGCTTCTAGGTGACTCACTTCTGATAACAGCTAGAGAGATAATAAATAAAGTTGAAGCCCTCTAGCTTTGCACAGACCTAGTCAGTGAAGATGCCGCCTCTTGTAACCACTTCCTTTCTCCTGCCTGTACTCTCCCTTTTTAGTTTTTTGTGAAATCCAAGCCTTGTCTTAGTGAAATTGTAAACTCCGTGGTGCAGGAGTCATCATTTACTGTGCATTGCATTGTGACCTGTACAGCGAGGCCCTAAATCTACCCGGGGCTGGGTTTCCAGCTGCTACCAAAATATAAACAAAAACTTGAAGCGCCTTGATGAGTTAATATTCAGAACCGAGGAAAAGAAGATCTGGACTGCATTCTGGAGGGAGGGGTTTTTAGTGCCAAAATCTTCCAGTTGGATGCTCTACTGATACACTGGCTATGGGGATATACTGCTGGAAAGGATCTGGGTAGTGTCGGATGTAATACGTGGGAGGTAATTGTCCCACTCTGTTCAGTATGGGAGAGGCCTCGGCTAGTGTACAGGTCGTACCTCCCTGGCCCATCATCCTTGGGACCTCACTGGTCCCGAGCCAGGAAATTTGCCAGATCAGGGGAGATCAGTGCTGGCCCCTCTGCAGCAGCAGAGGCCCAGCAGTGATGGATGTGGGGCTGGGGTGGGGCGATTGGGGGAAGAGGCAGGATGGCTGGGTCACAGGCCCGCAAGAGTACACCGAGCCCCAGGTCAGCTGGGCTGAGCTCCCGGACCCTGCCACTCGCTTTTAAAGGGGTAAAGGAATGTTTGGGAAGAGGATGCTAAGGGTTAAGTGAACAGAACTGGACCGAGGAAGAGCACTAACATGGCAGGGAGCATAATGGGTATGGGGAGAGTGAGAGCGGAAGGGTTGCAGTATTTGAGGAGGGGATGCAGGAAGTGGGATCAACCACCAAGACATGGAGTAGGGTGTATTGAGTCCACTCTTCCAACTGGAGTGAAGTTGGGAGGCCACAGATGGAGAGGGGAGGGAAAACTGCACCCCTGGCCTGGTGCAACATCTGGCTAGCTGGGTCTAGGGCAGGGGTGGCCAACCCATTTAACAAAGAGAGCCAAACCAGCGGCGGAAAAAATGCGAAGAGCTACACCAGAATTGCCGAGAAAAAAAAATGAGGCTGCCCCTTTAAGAAACAAGCATAGGCTTTTTGGCCATATCAGGCTCCCGTCAGTGGCCGCAATCTTGAGCACCATTTGGAATCGCTGCCCCCATGAGCACAGAGGAGCCGGGGGGAAGGGGAAGGACCGTTGGGGGGGGTGCAGAAGCGGCTTTGCAAGCCACACTTTTGGGGGAGAGGAGCCGCATGTGGCTCGCGAGCTGTGGGTTGGCCACCCTTGGGTTAGCGCTTGGGGGACTGTTTCCATGCATTGGCAGATGCCAGGCTGTTTTGATGAAGGGGTTGTATATAGTGATAAATGTGGTACAAAACAGCCATAAAGGATGCTGAATTTCTTCTTTGGCAACGACACTATAGACGAAGTACAAATTGACTGTGACCTTTTCGGCTGCGAACCAATCTCCAATAGCGTGCAGCTAGATGGACAAAGCAACTTAGGCAGGTGCTGTGGGAAAGGAAGAGGGGGGGAACTAGATGACACAATAGGCCTTTTCCCTCTTTCTGATTCTTGAGTCTCTGGTCACGTGTGCGTGGCTGGAGGAAATGGCATTGAAAACGCAAAAAGCCTTTTGTTTTAATGCTCCAGCTTGAATCCAGCTCCAACAAAGCAAATCCCCCAAGCCTGCAAAAGGGGTTTTGTGCAGAAATACAGCTTATTGTCCACTACGGGGTTCAGACTCTGGGGAAATCGTGGCCATTGTTTCTCAGTAAATGCTTTGTATTTTCTCATGTAATGCCTTCAGAATCTGGTTCTGTGCTTTTACACGTGTCGCCGTGTGAGCTGCAAGGGACAGCATGCCTGGCGGACATTTTCCAGCAATGTAAGAATGGGGAGGGTTTTTTTGGCTGTGTGGATGAAGTGCTTTTATTTGTCAGTAAGCAGTTATCATGTTCGGTTCTGGCTTCCTTTATCTGTAGGAAGCAGGCTAGGAGCCCAGTCCTGCTCCCAGTGAAGCCGCAGTGGGTCCTTTGCTCATGACGGCACTAGAATCGTGATGAAGCCCTATGAAAATACCGTGGAAAGGGCAGCTGGAGAATCAGGATTAGACTGGGTCTGGCCTCATGTGCAGTCATCTTTGTGGGGGTTTGGGGACAGGGAGAACCGTGTACTGCTCTTCGGTGAGCCTATTCTGGCAGTCATGCAGATCAACGTTCGTGGGTTTGGAAGGAAGCCAAGTCAGATCTCTTTTTCCCTTCCCCCACTTCGGATGGAGAGGCTTGTGATGTGGGGGCTTTTGTGGGTGGTGATTAAAAAGATGGGAACGTGCCAGGGAGGGAGTATTGCCATGTCCCGAAGGATCCATGGGCCTCCCAGGGAAAGAAATACAGTGGTGAATCGGAGTTAGATATGCAGAGGAGAAATTAACTCTCACAACTTATATCTACCATACTTTGCTCTTACTAAGAGAGCTGATGTGCAAGTACGCCTCCTAGGCCTGTTCTTCCTGCCCAAAGCAGTTCAGCTACACAGCCGCTGTTTCAATCAGGACCAGAGTCAGCGGCCCAGATGTACTCCAACTGCCGTCTGTGTAGGATGGCGCTTGTTAGGGTTGGAAAATAATTCCTTCGAGCTCCTTTTCTCTTTATGACCTACTCTTGTTACTAGGGCGTGGAAAGAAGGGCAGGGCAATCAGTGAAATCTGCAAGCCCTTTGGAGCAGGAGCTTCTGCAGTGCTCCCATTGCAATGGCTATGGGGCCAAAGTTCCAGTTAAGGTACGTCAACTCCAGTTGTGCAATTAACAGAGCTGGAGTTGTGCATCTCACATCGAACTTCCACCTAAGTATAGTTGTTGGTACCTGTGGCATGTTCATAACTCTGAGCAAAGTGTTAATGTTATGGTTGTGTTTTCAAGAGTTTCAAACTGAATGTGATCTTAATAGAGATTTGAAAATGCATCGCGTAGAAGAAAAATGTGGCTTTTCCTTTATTTTTGTTGATTTAATACTGTACCATAGTTGTGGGTTGTGTTTTATGTGTGTGTGTTTTGGCCTCTGCTGCCGCCTCGTTTTGTGTATGTATATTTCCGGTTCCAAATGAAGTGTGTTGTTGACTGTCCAGTTCGTAGTTCTGGTGTTTGTAACTCTGAGGTTCCAGTGTAGCAGGAGACAGCCTTGTCATTGAAGTCTACTAAAATACCAGAGGTGATAAAAGATAGACAAGGACAAGACGACTTAACAATTCCCCATTAGGATCAAGCTTGCATTTCAGTGCATAAAGTGATAGGCTCATGAGTAATGGCTTGAGCATCAAGCATGTCAAAACAGTTGTTAAAAAAAAAAAAAAAGTTGACTGAGTTCTCCAAGATGCCCATCAACACGACAAGTTTCTTGTTTTTTATTTTAACAACCTACTAATCAGATCTAGTGAGGTTCTTCCATGACAAAGTACCTTTATTAGGATACTTCAGAATGTATTAGTAAATGAGCATTAGCTTTGCTCTTCTAATATTGCTGCTTCGCTAGTTGGCTAATTCATAAAATCCAGCCATTTGCAAATAGGCCTCCCATTCATTAGTGCTAATTAGCAAGGTTCTGCTTGATGACTGTTTCTAATATGCTCATTTAGACCTGTATGAATTATTAGGAACTTCACCCGTGTAATGAGTATGTTTGCAACTATTTGGTTAATTAGCTGCATTCCTTTATGCCTGTTCTTGGGGTTGGTCATTTTGATGTCTAGCTTCTTCAGGTGCTTAGAATCTTCTGGAAGATTTATTTATAAACTAATGCCAGTGGCAGGATGTCAGAAGAATTTTAGACTTTTGTTTTAATCATCACTTCTCTTCTGTATGTGTGCTGCTGACTAACCCTCCAAGATGGGACGTGAGGCCATGTGTTGAGATCTGCTACTCGTCCCGCACTTAAGTCCCACTGTCAAAAGTCTGACTTCATGGATTTGCAATCGGATGGTCCTCAGTAGGCCTTGTTCAAAAAAGTCTTTCTACCATAAGAATGTCACGCTTAAGAACATAAGAACGACCATTCCAGATCAGACCAAGGGTCCATCTAGCCCAGTTTTCTGTCTTCCGACAGAGGCCACTGCTCGGTGCCCCAGAGGGAATGAACAGACCTGGTAGTCGGCAAGTGATACTATTCCTGTCCATCCTGGCTCATAAGCCATTGATGCACCTATTCTCCAGGAACTTACCTAGTTCTTCCTGTTACAGGCTAGGTCTTCGCAGCATTCTCTGGCAAGGGAGTTCCGCAGTCTGACTATGCGTTATGTTTCGTTTGTTTTTAAACCTGCCGCCTATTAATTTCAGGTTTAATTAATTCAGTTGTAGGTGAACCCCTAATTCTTGTGTTATGAGAGAATAAAAAGTATGTCCGTATCTACTTTCTCTATACCAGTCATGATTTTATAGACCTCAATCTCCTCCTCCCCTTCCTTGTCTTTTTTTTTTTCAAGTGGAAAAGTCCCAATCTTATTAATTTCTCCTCATACAGAAGCTGTTCCATCCCCCTAATTTTTGTTGCCCTTTTCTGAACCTTTTTCCAATTCCAATGTATCGTTTTTGAGATGAGGAGACCACTTCTGCATGCAGTATTTAAGATGTGGGTGCACCTCTGATTTATATAATGGCAGTATTGTAGTTTCTGTTTCATTGTGTATCCATTTCTTAACAAGTCCCAACCTTCTATTCTGTCTTCGGACTGCTGCTGCATATTGAGTGGATGTTTTCAGAGAACAAGCCGCAAGGAACCCAAGATTTTTTTTCTTGAGTGCTAGCAGCTAATTTAGACCCCATCATTTTATATGAATGGTTGGGATTATATTTTTCATTGTGCATTACTTTAGCACCGTGGTCACCAACAGGTCGATCGCGAGTGACTGGTCGCTCACGAGGCCTCGACCAGTCGCTCGCGAGGCATCCTGTCTGCCCCGCCCCCATTTCCCTCCCATCCCTGAGAAGCCCCACTACCTACCTCAAGTGAAAATGGAGGTAGTGTCAGCTTCCCGGGGGCGGACAGAAGTCCCGCAGCTTAGCGCCACTTCTGGTGATTCCAGAAGTGCGCTAGCTGCTCTGCCGGGTGTACTGCGGGAGGGAGCATCAGCTCCCTGCACTGCACAGGAGGGGTGAGTCAGCCCCGCGGGAGGCGCACAGGGGGTTTCCTGGTGCGTGCGTGGGGGTTGGCGCTGGGACAAGCGTGCGCGCGGCTTTCCTGCGCCGGGGGGGTCGGCCCCTTGGGCAGGCGCGCGCACGCGTGGCTTCCCTGTGGGGGGGGGGGTCGGCCCCGGGGCAGGCACGTGTGGGGCTTCCCTGCACCGCGTGGGGTCGACCCCGGGGCAGGTACGTGCTGGTTTCCCTGGGGGGGAGGGAGAATTCTGGGAGGAGGGAGATGCAGGGGACTCGCTGCCTCCACTGGCACCCCACTGGCACCCCACTCCCCAACCCCCACTCCCCAGCCACAGAATGCTGTCCCCACTCCCCTGTCCCCACTCCCCGAACTCTGTCCCCACTGGAACTCTGTCCTCACTGGCACTCTGTCCCCTGCTGCACTCTGTCCCCACTCCCTGTCCTCTGCCCTCCCAGCACCCTGTTCCCTCTCCCCTGCCTCCAGCCGCAGAACTCTGTCCTCACAAAATGTATAATTATAAATGCTTCATTTTAGATTTAAATAGCATGAATAAAACAGACCATTTATTTCATAACTATAAACATGTGATTTTAATTTTATGTATCGCATAATTTAAAAATAAACTGTTTATCAGAGTGTGTAAGTAAGGGCTGGGGATAGCAAGTGATGGACAGAAGGAGAATAGAGAGGGCGGGGCTTCAAGGAAGGGGCGTGGCGGTAGATCTTCGCCTGTTCTGAGATTTAAAACATGATCTTGGGTGTAAAAAGGTTGGAGACCACTGCTTTAGCATTTATTTTGCCTCATATCTTTGATACCCTCTTAGTTCCTACTGAAATTAAAAACATCTTAAAAACCAAAAAACTTACTCTAAGCAGAATTCTGATACCTCTCCCTCCTTCCCCCCTCCCCCCAAAAGAGACTCCATGGTCAACAAGGACGCTACTGTTGATACTGGTTTTACATGGAAGGAGCTCAAATGATGGATGACAATAAGATACCTGATGTAGATATACCAGTGGTTCTCAACTAGGAGTACGTGTATCCCGGGAGTGGGGTGGTATGTCAGTTTAATCTAGCTATTGTTTTAGTTTTACAACAAGCTAATAAAAACACCAGCAAAGTCAGGGCAAACTGAAATTTCATACAGACAGTAACTTGTATATACTGCTCTGTATACCATAGAGTAAAATGTAATAACAGCATTTACACGCCACTTGATTTATTTTGTAATTGTGTGGTAAAATGATAAAGCAAGGAATTTGTCAGTAACCGTGTGCTATGACACACTTTTCTATTTTTGTCTGATTTTTGTGAGCAAGTAGTTTTTAAGTGAGATAAAATTTAGGGGCACGTAAGACAAATCAGACTCCTGAAAAGGATGAAGTAGGCTGGAAAGGTTGAGAGCCACTGAGCTAGACTCCCTCCTTTATAGCTTCTCAAGAAACTTTTTTAAACATGACATGGAAAAGCGCACCGCTTTGTGCCATACATGAAGCAGTTTGGTAAATCCTAGCCTACTCTTCAAAAATAGATCTGTTAGGGTGAAAAAGTAATAAGATATTGACTCTTCTCCCACCTGCCAGCTGGTGGAAAATTGTTCTCTAAAATATGGTGCTTTGTCCACGGTTTTAAATGTTCAGTACCATTCAGAAATTGCTTAGTTTTGCCATTTTCTTATAATTTGCATTTAGATGAGCTGTCCGGGGAACAATGGGCTAGATGGCTCAAGTCTTGGCACT